ATAATTTATTTTGTATATTTTGTGTGCTCCCTGTGTGCTCTTACTACTGTCCTGTATGTGCGCTGCAACAACGAAATTTCCCCACTGTGGGACGAATAAAGGATCTCTCTTAGGATCTTATAATTGTACATAAATGTACATAAATGTTAATAAATGTACATATATGATGGGTGTCCTGGATCATCACTATCCTTGGACCCTCCTGCATCAACAAGGAACAACTCTAAAAGTAGTTATTAAAGTGAGTTTGTTTAAAGACTGCTGAGGATAGTGTTTGACATAAGAAAATACAGAGGTACATGGTAAAAAAAACAATTTAGTGTGATACGTCTCCTTTAATATTCAAAACAGGTAAACATCAGATTAGGTTTCAGTGCTAACATGTATATGAACAACCAAACTATAGCTATGAATCAAACCAAATTGATGCTGCATCTACTGTATAATGTTGTCATTTCTTTGATGCCGAGCAGATAAACTGGGTCGTTCTGATTAATATTTAAGTTTGGACTTGACTTGTGTGACTGAGTTTCTCCTGCAGGTGTTAGGTTCACGCCATTAGAAAACGAAGCTTCAAAAATTGGTCTTAATTTACAGATGGACCGTCTCCTTTCTCTGCTTCTCAGGCTCCGGATTAAATATTCATGATTTACCTGGAAAATTCCCACTGTTTTCATGAGGAAAAACGGCAAAAATTGTTTTCTGCAGCAAACTGACCACAATTAAATTTTTAAGGATTTAGAAATTAAATCACTTTTGTAAATGACAACAGAAGTGGTGATAAAATTAGAAATAATGACTGTTGATAGTAACAGTACCCAATCTAAGGCTCTCTCACTGTTCACTTTTTCCTGAACGGATAAGAGGATTATCTGTAGTATATAAACAAAATAATAATAATAATGCATCGGTTTTATTTAGCACTTTTTCAGGACACTCAAAGACACTTCACATTATTCACTCTATACACAGTGGTGATAAACTACGACTGTAACCACAGCTGCCCTGGGGCACACTGACAGAAGCGAGGCAACCAGTCTGTGCTATTGGCCCCTCCGACCACCACTAACCATTCACACACACACCAGACTCATTCTAATGTGGGTAAAGTGTCTACTGCGTGAGGTTAATAGAGCTTTTGGTTTGAACATAAACTTAGCTGTTATGTTCCACATCTTTGTCTCCAACAAACTCTAAATAATTGAGTCTGTCCATCTGTAAAATGTACTATTGTTTACATAGTGTCTGCCTCTGCTTCAGCCTCAGCCGTCTTCTACCAGAAAGGAACAACACTTCTAGGCAAATACTATTGGAGCAGATGTGCCTCCTGCTGATCTTGCGGCGGCAGTAGAAAAACAATGTAACGTTACTGACCTTTTAGTACCGAGTCAAATATTGCCCAGATTTCTTTGAACTGCCTTACATTACTGCGTCACAGCTAAATGCAACACATTACAGTCATTACTCTAGGAACGCATGACTCCGACACATCAGATGTAACCAAAGAAAAAAAGATCTAAGGCCTAAACAAGCTCAGATGACTAAATCTGCAGACACATGATCCTCCTCATACCTGCAGTCCTCTTCCAGTCTCTGCTCCTGACCCACTGAGGACTCTGGGGTTTTCCGATCCTTGTTTTCCGCTACAGTCTGACACACCGAGGCCCGCGGCGCTCTGTTGTAATGGCCGTAACATTACAAGTCATTTACGCTGAGAGGAAGAGCTGAGTCATGCTTTACCTGAACCCGCGCTCTGTCATTTTCACTTTTCACACACACGCCAGGCTGCCCCGGGGCGAGCGCGGCAGACGGGAGGAAGTCGTCAACCAAAGCAGAGCTGCAGCATTCCCCCCCGCAGCGCAAGAGTCATTGTATCCGCCGTGTTGGCCTGGTTTCAGCACAGGTTAAAACTGCAAAACAATTAACTTCACTTTTTCACATCGCTAAAGCTGGGGGACCTAACTTGCAAACGTCAACAACCTCAACATTTATGGACATAGAGCCATTAGTCCATAAGCAACCGATGACCAATATGTTTTTGTTTTGTTTTGAAGATAAAACTGTATTATTGGTTGTTGTAGAATTGTACTTTAGTATGTCAGCAGGTACCAATACAACTCTGAGAAAGAAGCCATTTTGGAGAGACATTTTGAAAAAGCCCAGATATGTTGCTAGATTAAAGAAGCTATACCCGATTTATTTTCTAATGAGTTCATAAAAATGCTTATTACTACATACAAGTTGTATTATAATCCATAATTTAATTGATAACTTGAGCTCATTGATTCAGCTGTGTATGAATTCAGGCCATATGAAAGTGCTGAGTAGAGACTTATCGTGACGCCCGCTCTCCTCCAATCACAGAACGAGGCTGCGTCCTCTAGCCTCTACAGCGCTGCTAAACACAGTAGCATGTTAGCATAAGTGGCTATAACTCCTCTGTCTGTAACTGCAGACACAGCAAAACAGCCCAAACGACACAACAGTGAGGAAGAGAAGAGGGAACTAAAGCGAGAAAATTATTAAAAAAGAAATCAAGCCCGGGTGAACATGGCTAGCTTACATCGTATCCTCTGGAGACTTGTCTATGGGAGAGACCTGCGGGACCGCCTCGGACTATCTTTGCTCGGACTACATTCGGAAACTAAACTAGCGGTAATCTTTAAGTTTTATATTTTGTTAGCAGTGCGTTGCTTTTGTACCATTTCATTAGTGATTGTTGTGCAGATTACAAGAAGTTGCGCTAATGTTAATGTTCGCATATAGATCGCAAATACAACTAGGTGGCTCCGTGGAATGAGAGCGTAGGTGAAATGAGAAGCCATTGAGCGGTGCTAAACATTCAAACATTGCAGAAACGGGTATAGCTCCTTTAAATTAAATTGAATTGAATCTATGTGTGTACTGCCCTAAATCAAAACAGTAGTTATCTCGGAGGACTTTACAAAGCTGTCAATTCGCCAAAACAGATCAGAGAATCAAATAGCTCAAACACAGGAAATGAAACGATAAACTTTTAGAGCCTTGGGTCTGAATGGCGACTGTAAAAAAGTGAATTTTGTCTTTTGTTTAATGCTTTGAAGGTTCTTTTAATAAGACAAATATATAAAGAAACATGTCAGGTAATTTACTTTTTTTTTTCTTATTCATAGAATTTAATAATCCATGAATGTTGTTGAATGTTTGGATCTTTATTTGATGGTGATAGATTCACAAAGCTGCCATATTATTCTACGTCCTTTTCACTGGCCATCATCACGCACATGCTTTTGAATATTGTCACCACTTCTGAGCTCCTTTTTATGATAAAATAATATAATATTTGATTATGTGCCGACAAAATAGATGTGGAACTTTTTGAGAGTTTAGTTTAATTTGGATTGTTCCAGGGATTACGGAGAAATTTTCTTTACATTTAAGACTAGAATCTGACTTTTGACACTTACCATAGTTCCCAGGACAGTTTTTTCAGCTGCTCTCCTCCACAATGTGAAACTCGAGGCTCTTTGGGACGTGCTGATGTCACATGAACGCACACATCTCTTTCAACAATATAAAAAGTACAACTATCCAGATGAGATATTGATTACTGATATAGTTTGTGACGCAATAGACTTAACAGAAAAGATTCTTTGGAGACTTCTAGTTTTTTCCACAAATGGAGAAAGATGGGACTTAAAATGTCCTATCCAATAGTAAATACTGCTATCATGTGAAATGTGCAATACTGCAATTTCAGAATGTCCACTGAAGGTCACTTTATATACTGTATTTTACGGACTATAAGCCGCTCCTGGTTTTAAGCCGCAGCCTCCAATTTTTAGAAAGAAATGGAAATTTGTACTTGTACAAGCTGCAATGGATTATAAGACGCACGTGTTCCACATAGTGATATTGAAAAATGTTTCTCAAAAACGTTTGTGTCTTTTTACTGTGAGTAATAAGAGTAAGAAGTGAGTCACTGACTGTTCTGAATCTTCCAGTGTGAAGCAGAAAGATGAGAAGCAACATCCATCCAGCAACTTTCATGTCGATACAGAGAACCAAAAACTGTTTATTATTTGAGATACTTACACAAAGATATTTTTAGTGAGTATTTTTAAACTTTATTTAATCTGCTTGATTGACCATTCTTACAGGAAAATGTTTATTGGCAACATAGGAAAAAAATTATAAATAAGCCGCACCCCGACTATAAGCCACAACCTTCAAAATTCAGGAAAAAAGCCGTGGATTATAGTCCGGAAAATATGGTACCAAGTGTCCTGCCCTTTATGTATATAACTTATACACTATATGTACAGTACAGACCAAAAGTTTGGACACACTTTCTCATTCAATGAGTTTCCTTTCTTTTCATGACTATTGACAGTAGATCCACACCAGGCTGTGTAAGGGCTGTTTGACCAACAAGTAGAGTGATGGTGCTGGGCCAGATGACCTCCACAGTCACCGGACCTGAACCCAATCCAGATGGTTTTGGGGTGAGTGCTAAGCATCTCTGGCAACTCCTTCAAGACTGTTGGAAGACCATTTCAGGTCACTACCTCTTGAAACTCATCAAGAGAATGCCAAGAGTGTGTGAAGCAGTGATCAGAGCAAAAGGTGCTACTGTGAAGAAGCACATAAGACATATTTTCAGTAATTTCATACTTTTCTTTTTATTTCGTACATAATTCCACATGAGTTAATTCATAGTTTTTAAGGCCTTCAGTGTGAATCTACAATTGTCATAAACATGAAAACAAAAGACTCTTTGAATGAGAAGGTGTGTCCAAACTTTTGGTCTGTACTGTATATCCCTGTGTGCTCTTACTACTGTCCTGTATGTGCGCTGCAACATTGAAATTTCCCCACTGTGGGATGACTATAGGTTCTCTTATCTCATCCTGACTGCTTGTCAACACTGTGTCATTTTAATACTGTTTCTGTCCTATCCCTGGTAAACACTAGTATGTTCTCTGTCAGTATTCTCATGTTTATTCCATCATATGTTGCAGACGACCGGCGAGCGTCCGTTCATTCAGAAGCTGTTCCGGCCGCTGTCTGCAGATGGCGCTGTCCACACTCTGGGAGACCTGCTCAGAGAGATGTACCCGGCGGCTGTGACTCACGAAGGTACAACATCAACCATGAGACATTATTAGAATTTGGTGAATAGTATCAGTCATTTTCCTGGAGTTAAAGTTGGGGTACATCACTTCCGCCCCCACTCTCTGGAACTCCCACAACCGTCAGAAACTCACGGTTGAACTTCAAATCACTTCTCCAAACCCACATGTTTCTTCAATGTCTATTTTTGTATGTTTTGTAAAGCGTCTTTGAGAGTCCAAAAAAGCGCTGTATAAGTTTGATGTAATATTATTATGCATCATAATTTCCGGACTATAAGCCGCTACTTTTGTCTAGTTCTTTGATCCCTGCGGCTTTTATAGCGACGCTGCTTATATGTGTATTTTTATTGTGGTAGAGTTTATGGACATATTATTTTGACTCTATCAAGTTTTAGTAGCTTCACGACACTTGTTAGTTGTCAAAATAGATTAAGGTTAGTGAGTACCAGCATGGAAGCTAACGGTTAAGAACATTAATCTCTCCTTAGTAGAAATAAATTGATTTGTTTCTTAAATACAATAAGTAAGTCAGCAATGTTTTTACCTTGACATATTTCGACGTACACTTCCATCTTCCTCAGAAGTGTCTTTAAAAATAATAACATTGCTAACTTACAATTGTCTGGTTTAGAAGAAACAAATATCGTTATGACGGACTCTTTGCTACATGAAACATGCGGCTTATATTCAAGTGCAGCCTGTATGTGGACGACGTTGATTTTCTTTCAAATGTAGCTATTGTAGCTTATACACAGCTGTGCTATATATATATATATTATTTTATTTTATTTGTATATATTTTATTATCAATCAATCAACGTTTATTTATAGAGCGCCTTTCCTACACAAGGCAACGCAAAGCGCCTCACAACCCATATAACATCATGCATAAATCATCAAACATTAGAATTTAAGTAAACATAAAAAGACAGATTAAGAGCACAAGATATATAAAATCACACAAGTAGTTAAAAACCGTAAAAAATTAAAAACACACAAGGGATTACAATCATAAATAATCATAAATAATCATAGCGCATTAAAAAGATTAAAGATAAAAACAAATGTAAAATCATTCACTTGTATGCACAGCTAAAAAGAACTGTTTTCAGTTCAGTTTTAAAAACTGCTAGAGTAGACGCCTGTCTCACACTCTCGGGAAGACGGTTCCAGACTCTAGCTGCATGAATCTGAAACGCAGCCTCCCCATGTCTAGTTCCGACTCTTGGCACTAACAGAAGTCCAGTCCCTGTGCTCCTCAGAGCCCGAGTTGGTTCATATGGCACCAACATGTCGCGGATGTACCCTGGTGCGAGGCCATGGTACAGAGCTTGGGAAATCTCTGATCAGGAGAAGACTGATCAGAGATGCAGCCAAGAGGCCCATGATCGCTCTGGATGAACTGCAGATAACTACAGCTGAGGTGGGAGAGTCTGTCCATAGGACAACAATCAGTCGTGCACTGCACAAATCTGGCCTTTATGGAAGAGTGGCCATTTCTCAAAGATATCCATAAAAAGTCTTGTTTAAAGTTTGCCACAAGCCACCTGGGAGACACACCAAACATGTGGAAGAAGGTGCTCTGGTCAGATGAAACCAAAATCAAACTTTTTGGCCACAATGCAAAACGATATGTTTGGCGTAAAAGCAACACAGCTCATCACCCTGAACACACCATCCCCACCTCAGCTGTAGTTATCTGCAGTTCATCCAGAGTGATCATGGGCCTCTTGACTGCATCTCTGATCAGTCTTCTCCTTGTTTCAGATGAAAGTTTGGAGGGACGGCCGGGTCTTGGTAGATTTGCAGTGGTCTGATACTCCTTCCATTTCAATATAATTGCTTGCACAGTGCTCCTTGAGATGTTTAAAGCTTGGGAAATCTTTTTGTATCCAAATCCGGCTTTAAACTTCTCCACAACAGTATCTCGGACCTGCCTGGTGTGTTCCTTTGTCTTCATGGTTCTCTCTGCGCTTTAAACATTACCCTGAGACTATCAAAGAGCAGGAGCATTTATACGGAGTTTTGATTACACACAGGTGCATTCTATTTATCATCATCAGTCATTTAGGACAACATTGGATCATTCAAAGATCCTCACTGAACTTCTGGACCGAGTTTGCTGCACTGAAAGTAAAGGGGCCGAATAATATTGCACGCCCCACTTTTCAGTTTTTTATTTGTTAAAAAAGTTTAAATTATCCAACAAATTTCATTCCACTTCACGATTGTGTCCCACTTGTTGTTGATTCATGACAAAAAGTTTGAAGCCTGAAATATGGCGAAATGTTGACGGGTTCAAGGGGGCCGAATACTTTCGCAAGGTCTGTCTATATATATATATATATATATGTATGTTGAGAACAAATCAGATCACAACATGCTGCCATCATCTTAACAGCAAACAAGAAAGAGCCCCCTGAGTCACCATTTGACTCTTTGGGCTGAGTGAGGGTGGTCCTCTCTGTTTCTCAAAGGCAGATTTAAAGATATGATAGAGGCCAAAAACACATGCATGAGAAAACTAGTGATGGAACCAAACTATTTTAAAAGAACCTGAAATATGGATTTTACTACATAGATACTTTTTTGGTAGTTTGAAAGTTACCCCAGCTTTTTAAGTATTAATTTCAATGCTTCATCTGTGGCTCAGAAGCTGTTTTTACCTGTGTTTGAAGCCTAATCTCTGGTGGCCCATTAGCAGAGGGTGGATGTCCCCTCTCCCTGATCCTCCCGGATAGCCCTGCTTTCTACTGTCCCCCTCTCAGTCTGTCATGTGGTGAGATGAAGACACAACAGGCGTTTGAACTGCCGGCCCCCACCCTCGCCTCCCGCTGCCGGGCTTTAGGGTCGCGCCGCGCGCCCAATCCCAGCGCGCCGCCGTAATCCGAGCGATCAGCCGCGCCGAGACAAAAGAAGAACTTTCACTGTGATCTGAGGGAGAAAAGGAAAAGGTTTAGACATGAAACGGAGCATCAGGCGACACCTGAGAGGCCGCTTCAAAGGACCACGCGGAAATATGTCTGACGGATGAAAACAGTAGACTCGTACAGTTATACAGTGCCTTGCAAAAGTATTCATACACCGGGAACTCTCGCACATTGTGACCTGTTGCAGCCTCAAACATAGACATTAATTGTTTTTAATATTGTACAGAAAGACCACAACAACAACGGGAAAATGTGAAGTGAAAGAAAAGATTATCATACAGCAAATATGGATCTAAACTAACACTGCTCATCCCCAGAGTCAAACATTGGGGTGGTAGCATCATGTTATGGGGCTGGAAACAGCAGCAGAATTGAAGGGAAGGTGAATGCAGAAAAATACAGGACAATCGGAAGAAAAGCGGCAGGAACAGGGAATTCCAGAGTTATCTCATGCTGATAAGAGATAAGATAAGAGAGCCTTTTTTTGTGAATTTTTAGGGTAATCTTAATGATGCAGCGCACACACAGGACGGTTGTAAGAGCACACAGGGAGCACACAAAATACACAATTGACGAGCAGGTACTTACGTCACATATCACCAGAATGATTGACAGTTAGGAGGGCCAATAGTCTTGATGATCCACCCGGAAGAAGAAAATCCTCCTCATATACCTTTTTTACATGTTTAAAGTAGACATGGAAAAATAACCTTTTTTTAATTACAAGTTCATTTGATCAATTATTACACTATGTAATAAGCTCAGACCAAATTTTGGGATTCTTTATTATCACAGATTTGATGTATGGTGAAGCACTGTTCTTTACCCGACTGTTCTTTTTTGTTGTCCTCCATCCTCCTTGATCCAAACGGCGCTGGGATAATCTGGTGGTTCTCTCAGATGTTGGAGGATAGACTTCAGCTGCAGGTGCACCGCTGTGGGCCCTATTGTGTTTTTATCTACTTCCTGTCTCTGTTTAGACTTCACTCTCTCCTCTGTTCTTCTGTGATGTGGCTGCGTCTGTGCAAACGCCGCCGAAGACAGATTTTCAATAGTTTTCAAGTCGGCGTGGCTCTAAAGCAGGGGTGGGCAGCGCTATGGTTTTTACATGGTTACGATTTCATTTCATTTGGCAAACTATTGTAGACGGGTTTGTTGTGGAAAATATTGCTTAAGAATATGATTATTACTTGTAAAAACCTCAAAGAAAGGCCTGTCTGTCACTTTGCATGTAATGAGTCTATATCATGAATTAGTTTTACATTTGAAGTTGGAACTACAAAGAAAAATTGACTTTTTGAACAATATTGTAGTTTATCCTGTGAGACAACAGATGCTAATGAGATGCAACTGTTTGTTTGTTACTTTACTCTTTAATAATGTATTTTTTAATTATTATTTTGCGTTATAAATTTTGTTTTGTTAATTTTAGAGTGCTGTACTAATGCCTATTCTTTTAATTGAGTATTGTATCAATTAATACCTTCTTAATGAAATGAAGAAGTTAACATGTTTAACATTCATTTATAATATACATTTGAGGAAAAGTATGAGTCATATTTTAATGAAAATAAGCCTACTAATTCTACTTAATTCTATTCTATTAATTTTACTTAATTGTTGCAAAGTTGAAAGAAAAAAAAAGGAATACATTATGAAGAAAATGTTGAGGCACCTTTTTGATACATAAATCATAATTTATATCTCATTCACATCAAAATGCAAGACAATTAAATGTACATTTTTCTATCTCCATAAAGACAGCATTACAAGCTTTGTAAATTTGAACTACTTTTTAATATAATTCAGCACAAATTAATGAATAAAATTAACAAAGTAATTTTTTTCCCAAAGATGCAGTTTATGTAACTTTTATTTTTTACAGTAATTTCTCATGTGTTGATCATTTCACTGAGCACAGTTTAATCCAGCATCAGTGATTGTTAATGTCTGGCACAACTGCTAATCTACCAAGACACGGCCTTCTACCCAAACTAACAACTCTGGCAAGGACCGATCAACTTGACATGAAAATAAATGTTTCTTTGAATTTCAATGTAAAGTAGATATTTCTTATTAGTAGCAGTGTTTTCAATCTGTATTTCGAATCTATCTTTTTGAGTCGGGTTAGCGTGACTCCAGACCAGAGACACGTCCTGATATCGTCTGTATGAGTCCGTGACCTGTGCTGTCCTGGTTCAGACTGTGACACGTCATAACCGCCTTCGTGAGAAGCTTTTCACCGGTGACAGATCTCAGAGCGTCCGGTCGCGCTCGCCCTCTCTTTCGTCCACGTAATATCAGGAGAACGGTTTGAGCTCCGCCCGACATCTGCTGCAGTTTCACCCGCACCGTGCCCTCTGCCCCACACAAAAACAAGACACCAGGCCTGATCTGTCAGAACCCAATCATAAATATATTCATTGTTATTGATACGTATTCACACCTGTGTTAATTCACTCAATTAAATACAACATACATTAAAATTGTACTACATCCATTAAAGATCTGTGATAATTAAGTTATTATTAGTTAATGTCATGTGATTTGGAAACGCTGTTAATTTCTTCAATTCAAGCAGACTGTTGAAATGGTCAGGCCTGAAAAATGTCATTATCAGTATCAAATATTTTCAGTAATTATGGATATATATTTAAAGACTTCCCATTCGAAACAGGATCTTTTTTAGCTCTAATTTTTTGTATATGGACTGTATACGTTTTGATGTCTGCAATATTTATATGTAGTTATTATTTCAATTCAATTCAATTCAGTGTATTCTTGTATCGCCCTAAATCAGTTTTTATCTCTCTTTTAAAACCGTTGAATTCACCAACACAGATCGGTGAATAAAACCGTTAAAATACATTGCTATAGGTTTGATTTAATAATTTGAGCAGAAATTAACATTCATAAGTATTTACAATATTTACATTTCTTGGTCTATTCTTTTGTACATTATGTTGCCTACTGCTCTCACAGTATAGACATACACATGTAAATGTATATATGCACAATTATACAATCAAGCCATAGTTTCATCTTGTGTTGGAGTATTTACAAATTCAGTATGCCTTTTATTGAATGTATTTATATTTACAATTAGTCAGCTCAAATTCATTTTACAAGATAACAGGTTTAAAAAGGGGTTGGATGAAGCTGTTTGCCGCTCACTCATACCAGACACAGCCCACTCACTCTCTGACCCTACACCTCTCCCACCACTCTTCTTCAATGCTCCCTTTTTAAATAATGCTTTGAATAGAAACCGTTCTGAATCTCCGCAGTTCTGAGCTGTAGCCTCATTTCCACTGAGAAAAAAAACCAGTTCAGTGCAAAGACAAAGACCAAACGCCGTGATCATTTAAGACACAATAAAGAATAACTCTTGTTTAGGCCGCTGCCATTTGTGTGGTTTGTGCAGACATCGATCCACTCTCTACTCTGCTGAGAGAGTGAGGAGCAGTTCTCTGGCCCCAGGGCGGAGGCGGCTCATGTGAAAGTGTGATTCTCAGAGTGAAAGTTGAAATGGAAGACGCGGAGAAACTGTCACTTTTAGTTTTCAGACAGAACAGTGTGGTGTCCACCTGTCAGACTGCAGCACGAGCATTTGTTTTAACCCTTGTGCTTCCCTCGGGTCAAAATGATCCACCACAGTGATTAAAAAAGACCCTGTTAGACCCTAAATTAGGTTCCAGTTAGGAAAAATCATCAACATTTTACATTTAGAGATGGGGTACCTAACTTCATGAATAAATTTGGTTAGTCCCGACAGAAAGAGTCTCGTTTTAGTATGAATCAGACCACAACACGCTGTCTTAATCTTATTTGAAAACATCTTTTATGACCTTTTTGCATATTTGTAAGACAGAACCCTTTGAGTCACTATTTGACTATCTTGGGCTGAGTGAGGGTGGTCCTCTTTTCCACTTTTCTGTCTGAAATACATAAGATAAAGATCAAGATAAAATATGAAAACTTGTGATATGGAGAGGATTTTTAAATATTATTATTTGTGGGTACTCCAACTTTGAAACCAGTTATAGTGTTTTTGCATCAAATGCTTCAACCTTTTACATCTTTCTAAGTAATCATTAGTAAGTATTATTTACATGTCAAACAGAAAGGAAGTATCAACACTTTGATTCATATTCCATTCACTGTTGTAGCCGTATATTTCTTCGGCTTGTTACATGTCTTCAAAGGGCTGGTCTCTCTCTCTGGTCTCTCTTTGGTCTCTCTCTGGTCTCTCTCTCTCTGGTCTATACCTGGTCTCTCTGGTCTCTCTGGTCTCTCTTTGGTCTCTCTTTGGTCTCGCTTTGGTCTCGCTTTGGTCTCTCTTTGGTCTCTCTCTGGTCTATCTCTGGTCTATCTCTGGTCTATCTCTGGTCTATCTCTGGTCTCTCTCTGGTCTCTCTTTGGTCTCTCTTTGGTCTCTCTCTGGTCTCTCTCTGGTCTCTCTCTGGTCTCTCTGGTCTATCTCTGGTCTCTCTCTGGTCTCTCTGGTCTCTCTGTGGTCTCTCTGGTCTCTCTGTGGTCTCTCTCTGGTCTCTCTCTCTGGTCTATCTCTGGTCTCTCTCTGGTCTCTCTCTGGTCTCTCTCTCTGGTCTCTCTCTGGTCTCTCTCTGGTCTATCTCTGGTCTCTCTCTGGTCTATCTCTGGTCTCTCTCTGGTCTCTCTCTGGTCTCTCTCTGGTCTCTCTCTGGTCTCTCTCTGGTCTATCTCCGGTCTCTCTCTGGTCTCTCTCTGGTCTATCTCTGGTCTCTCTTTGGTCTCTCTCTGGTCTCTCTCTGGTCTCTCTGTTCTATCTCTGGTCTCTCTGTGGTCTCTCTTGCCTAACCCCTCTTACAGCTGTGGCACTATGTCCAAAGAGGACACAACAGTTTCTCATAAACCAACGGTGAAAACTTACACTTCAACAATCAACATGTGTATGCATAAACCAATTCAAGTGTTCTATACCTCTCCTTATACTTCTTTAAACAATGCTTTCATTGTAAAAAAATTGAAATGTAGCAAATTAAATGTATCTTGAGTTGAGCACATTCTGATTGCCTTAAAACAAGATTCTCCAATGGGACAAAGCAAAATGATCTTGTTTTAAAAAGATTCAAGAAATGTCTCCCTTGGAATGAGAAAATAAAGCAACAGTTCTTCAAATAAGACTAAATGGTTTTGTCTCGTTTCAACACAGTCAGAATGTATTCGGATTAAGACTTGATTCAAGCCGTTATTACCTCATATTCTATCGTTTTTTGCAGTATAAGGTATAAGGCCTACTCTACTCTGAGGCAGGGACTAAAAAAGTAAGCTCCTAATCTGTGAGCATAGAAGAGCACGCCTGGTGGAAACGGGCCTTCTGATTTTTTTGTTTTTTTTTCTTCCGTCTTGGAGGAAATTGCTCTTTGTTGGAGAGATAGAGGTACAAAAGAAAACTCAGATTATTTGACTAAAACCAGATCAAAACTAGAACCAAGCAGACTTTGCATACATCAGCCAGAGGAAGCGGGTCATCACCAGCGGCTACACCCCCTCTGCTGCTGTGAGCTGAAGCTACTATTGTTAGTCACTTTTAGATCGATGTATTTACAGTAGTTGTTTGTGTGGATGGATGTGTTTCTGCTGCTGGACCCCTGGCTGTGTCCTCTCACTAAAGTATCTAAAACTAAAGGCATAAGAAGACCGAATCGTGTCTCAGTCTGAGGTCCAGAGGCGGGTATCTGTAGCTCGAGCTTCCCGTGTGTCTTCAGAAGTGGCTCTGTGGGTTCGAGTCTAGCCGAGTGCAAAACCGCCACACTTCCCCCTCACGGTTTACAGGCAGTTTTAACGTTCGTCATAACTGAGAGCTAAGCAGCCGTGAAACGAGAGAAGAATTCGATTTTTTTTATGGCTGTAGATCATTTGAGTACGTTTACAAAGCCTAAAAATATGGAGTATGTTAAAAACCGGACTATTTGAAGTTGCCCCCAAACCGGTCTGACCACTGGAGCCTTGATGGAGCCTTGTGCTGCTTTCAAAGACGTCTCGTACATTTGCCTCAGCGCTCACACTCTGGAACAGTGATCGTAAATAAAATGTCTCTTGTGTCTATTGTAGAACACACTTTTGTCAAATGGAATCACACAACATCTTGGTACTTAAAGCGTTTGATTTTCACTCAACACACGTTTCCTGCTTTCCTCACGTAATGAAACCAGAGAGAGAGACCAGAGAGAGACCAGAGAGAGAGAGACCAGAGAGAGAGAGACCAGAGAGAGGGAGAGACCAGAGAGGGGGAGAGACCAGAGAGGGGGAGAGACCAGAGAGGGGAAGAGACCAGAGAGGGGAAGAGACCAGAGAGGGGAAGAGACCAGAGAGGGGAAGAGACCAGAGAGGGGGAGAGACCAGAGAGGGGAAGAGACCAGAGAGGGGAGAGACCAGAGAGGGGGAGAGACCAGAGAGGGGGAGAGACCAGAGAGGGGGAGAGACCAGAGAGGGGGAGAGACCAGAGAGGGGGAGAGACCAGAGGGGGAGAGGACCAGAGAGGGGGAGAGAGACCAGAGAGGGGGAGAGAGACCAGAGAGGGGGAGAGAGACCAGAGAGGGGTAGAGAGACCAGAGAGGGGTAGAGAGACCAGAGAGGGGTAGAGAGACCAGAGAGGGGTAGAGAGACCAGAGAGGGGTAGAGAGACCAGAGAGGGGTAGAGAGACCAGAGAGGGGTAGAGAGACCAGAGAGGGGTAGAGAGACCAGAGAGGGGGAGAGAGACCAGAGAGGGGGAGAGAGAGAGAGACACACAGACACAGACCAGAGAGAGACCTATAGTCTCCCAAATACATTATGTTTCTAATATAAACCAGGCTTTTCCATGTGTTCTTTAATACATCTCCTGGACTTGTCTCAGCAGTTATCTTGGTTAGTTTACTTTTCTACGGTTTATTTTTGACATTCTCTCTCTCTCTCTCTTCCTCTCTCTTTCTCTTTCTCTCTCTGTGTGTGTCAGGAGCAGAGAAGCGCCTCCAAGTGGTGATCCACGGCATCGAACCTCTGCTTGAGACTCCCCTGCAGTGGCTCAGCGAACACCTCAGTCACCCGGACAACTTCCTGCACATCTGCATCATTCCTGTGCCCTCTGACTGAAGCCACGCCCCTCCCACTGAAGACACGCCCCCTACCACAGAGGCCACGCCCCTCTTTCCAAAGACACGCCCCCTTCCACTGAAGACACACCCTTTCTGACAACAGACACACCCTCTCCAATCAACTCCCATTCGTTTTTCTGGGTGTTAGCATGAGGCTAGTTGACCACAAGAGAAAATTTGTAGCCCTTTAGGCACCGAACGTGGAAGGAAAAATAAATAAATAAACAAACTATACATTTACATTAGCAAGTATTGTTTTAAAGGAGAAATATTTTGCAAAATATCCTCTTTCTCATTATTAAGCATGTTGCAACATTATTCAATAGCACTTCGCTAATAGCGCTAATAGCACTTCTGGCACAAACATGTGACTCAGAAGTGCTGAAAACTGTTTCAAATCTGTAAATCCTATCACAATGACATTACACTAAAACTAAAGGATTTCACGTTCTTTAGATTTATTGTTTGGTGTTAGTGTTTTGGTGTGTTTGCAGCTTGTAATTTTCAAAAAACAAAAAAAACAAATCAGCTCAAATCAGAGTTGCAGGTAGAAATGTTCTACTGAAGATTATTTCACATTTAACAAAGTAAAAAGTGGTATCATTTTCAATGACAAAAAATATGCATAATGTATCTCCTGTCATAAAAACACATTTCCCAATATATTTTTTATTTTAGTTTTTTATTTTTTTTCAGAAATTTGAGGTTAAACAGATGTACATGGAGCCTGATACAAATAAATAAATAAATAAAAAGGACAACAATTGAATGAAAATAGGCAAACGTTTGAGTGAAGCCAGGTCGCTGTATAGAAAGTGCCTGTACATTTGAGCTCTTGGAGTTTTCGGCCACTTTGGTGCCTAAAGGGTTAATTTGCATACATGTACATATATAGTTTTGTTTCCTCTTCTTTCCCTGTAGGGGGCAGTAGCAGTTAACTACCTGTGTGATGATTCAATAAGATGAACTAAATGTTTGTTATGGTTCTTTTGAAAGACAGGTCAGACTGCGAGCTTCTTCAGAACTGACGTTACTTCCTGAGTGGGCGTGGTCAATACTCAGGAAGTAACATCAGCTAATAAATGACTCATCACCAAGGTAAAAAATCTAGTCTTTCAAAAGAACCACAAAAAACAGACATATTGTGCATTAGTTTCAAGTATCAAGCAGGCATTTTGTCATAAAACGGGGGAAAAAAAGTGGCTGATCGCTAGCTTCATCTGAGCTTTATGTCATCTAGCTACACACATATAGCTATATGTGTGCAGCAGCATCATGAAAGTACATTTTGATTTTATTTGACAGTTTATTCACCCAGAAAGTTTGATTGCATTAAAATAAAGTCTTGTGGAGAATTAGCCTCGGTTACAACACATGCTTTTGAAGAGGTTTTTTTTTAATCAAACAAGATGAAAGAGACTGTTACAAGCCATCGAACAACAAAAGGTCGGCCCCAGAGAAAGGGACTCTGGATTCATATGGACAAAGAAGCAAAGTTCTTTTTTGTGAACGGAGAGAGTTCGAAGCTGCCTTAGTGGAAACGCCGCAAAAACTCTATCCAGCCCTGAGCCCTCTCCCCATTGGTTTAAATATTTGTTTGTAGCTAATCCTACTTTTGGTGGGTACGCCAAAGGGACGCCGTTAAAACAGACAAAAGAAGAAAGATTTGATGGTAATATACTCAATACTTCTACAATTAAAGCTGGGGTATGTAACTTTTCGGTTTAAAAAATATCACATGATTTTTGTCACAGAAGGAGTACATATTTTTTGAATGAATTGGACCACCACATGTTTTCTTCATCTGATTAGAAAGAGCCATGGGAGTCACTTTTTTGACTTTTTGGGCTGAGAGCTGATTGGCTGAGTGAAGGTGGTCCTCTTTTTTTGCGTTTCAGTCTGAAAAAGCTGATCCAACGATGTGACAAAGGCCTGAAAAATGTGAAAACTAGTGATAGAAGCAACTGTTTCGGAGCCAGGAACTAGCGAAAGGGAATTTTATTAGAGATCCATTATTTTGGGGAGAAACTTAAGTACCCCAGCTTTACGTCGAGTCGTTTGAGCAGGCCGAGATAGTGTTATTGCGGTGTTGAAATCCAAAAACTAAACGGGACTGTTCCATGTTTCTCTCTTATGCCTGTAAAGTGTGCGTGTGTATGTTTGTGCGTTTGTTTATAGCATGTCACAAAAAAGTTTGGTCACACTTTAGATTAGCCCTCACTAAATAAGTGCTAATTAAATGCTAACTAGCGTAGCATAACCCTAGTGTAGCCTAACCCTATCCACGATATCCAACTGTGTGTTCTTTGTATGTGCTGCTTCCAGGATCGGAATATACCATTGACCTGCCTTAACCTTAACCCAGTTAGTAGTTGGCTAGATGTAGAATAAGGATTTATAAGTGCTTAATAAATACTTATCAAGAGTTAACTAACCATAAATGATACACTAATTAGCACTTTATTAGCTTGCTAGTTAGTGAGGGCAAAACTAAAGTGTGACCAAAGGTTTTAATGCCAAATGTTGGTAGGGCTGCACGATTTTAAATATCTCATTGTGATATTTCTGACCCATTTTGGTTTGTTCAAAGCAACTTGAAGAAAGAAAGTTTTATTTGAAAAAGCGACATATGAAGCAATACCTCAGACACAACTCCACACATTTCAGAAAACGTTCAGCGAGTTTTAACCTGCCACTGTTTTTGCAGGAATAACATCCGCGTTTTTTTCTGGACTAACCTAAGCGAAACTCTCACAAGGAACGACGATAATAAATAACAACAATGTAAATAATAATAAGAGTAAAAAACCTCAAAAATTAGAGTCCTTCAGTTATCCGCACAGACAAACAGATCCATCTTTAACCTGGAATCGAGCATTGTCAGAGGAAACAAAGCCCTTTGCTACATCCTTATTAACAACAATAACATTCTGACTAAAACTGCTGACATCAGCCTTGATCCCATTCGGCCTCCGTTCGTCTGCTGTTCACATAAACACACTGAAGCTGATCCAGATCCCTTCCCCCAGGGGGCGCTCTGACAACAACACAAATGCAAACACCTTTGGAGAACTCGAGCTGCTTATAGTCTAGTCTAGCAACTACTGTTTATGTAAATGCAGTTTTTATCATTTCTCACTAAATTCACTCACAAAATTATGAATGAAATGAGAAAAATAAACTTCTTGTTTATTTTGGCTGTTCATTAAGATTCTACAAATCTTCTAAATGAACTCAAACTTCCCCAAAATCCCCAAATCCAAGTGATGTTTTGCGTAAATTTAAATTTCTGTTTGCAAATAATTTCAATAATTACAGTTTTAGCAATTTCCTAATTGCGAACAACAAACATTGGAATTTCAATTCAATCATGATTAATCGTGCAGCCCTACTTTGGATCTTCCAGGCTTCACACAGTCTTGGAAAACTGGGAAAAATTGTCTTGTAATGTTCAACATATTGTCCAGTTAAATGACACTCACTGGACTTTTCTAATTATCCATGAACTCCTCATTTGTCTAAACTCAAAACAAGGCTGTTTTTATGATCCCAAAACTTAATTCTTAGTTTTTCATCACTATTACCCAACATAAAGATCAAAAACTATGTATTTTTGTACATCCTATAGTCACCATAGCAACCGTCTCCAGGAACTTTTTGATTTTTTTTACCATTTTACTACATTGTTCCTCATCAAAAACACACACACACACTCTGTGTTTTCAAACTTGGTACACCCAGAATTCTGAAACTGCTAGAACTCTCAAAGCCATCAATTTTGTTGTTTTCCACCAGATTTGTTAAAAGTTAGTCATTTACAGGTTTAAAAAAACAACTTGTGTTCACTTTTACTACATGCTAAAACAGTTTGTTGAGAGGCTAATGCTAACAACCAAATGCTAACTGCTGCAGGTGAACAGTTTGTCGCTGTGGTAACTAACTTCCCCCCCGAGCTGTCATTTTGACTGCTCTCATTCGAATCAATGGAATTCTGAGAAAGACTGTTTAGTTTTTCACCAGATTTGTTCAAAGAAAGTCATTTATATGTTCTTTTTACCTTTTAATAAGTGCTCAAACTGGTGATTATTACTGCAACTGAAATACACATAAAAACAGTCAAAGTTATGATAAGTGTGAAAACGCTGAGTATACCATCAAAATGACTGCTCCAGGAGTTCAACGAGACCACGCCATGTTGGATTTGTCTTTCTTCAGCCGTGACACAAACTGAAGAGAGGATTTCACATTCTAAAACCATAAATGTACATATATTAAGATCATGTTTACAGGTGAAAATCATCAGAAATGACTAAAGCTGGGGGACCTAACTTCTCTGTTTCATTAAAAACACATGTGGCTTCTCTCAACAGGAAGTAAAACATCAGGCACAAACCCCCCTGAGTCACTTTCTGACTCTTTGGGCTGAGTGAGGGTGGTCCTCTCTTTTTCACTTCTGTCTGAAAAACCAGATCTAAAAATATGCCTGAGACAGAAATGCATGATGTGAAAGTGATACACTATAGTGACACGTTGAAAGTTACGTACCCCAGCTTTAAACTACAGTTTCTAATTACAAGATGGACACAAAGTTATAAGAATTAAACATGTTAGTTTGTTGTTTTCTCATCGTTGACAGCTCTGAATTTAGACAAAAGTATAATCAAAAACATTACTCTTGTATTGTTTCTGAAAGACATAGAACTGTGTGTTTGTTTCTAATAAAAAGACTAAAACTGATTTTTGGAGTCGATATAGATTTTGACAAACATTTAATCCGTTTATTTATGTATTTATCTGTTTGAACACTATTAAAAGTATTGGGCTTAAGCAAAAACCTCAACGCCACCCCCAGATACAATCCAACAATATTCATGTTACAGTAAAATAATACACATCGAGGACACAGAAGCACAGCGTCTGAGTAGAGTTTGCATGTTCTCCCCGTGTCTGCGTAGGTTTTCACTACACTAAAAACATGCACACGAAGTAAAATCCTCC